ACATTCCACGCTGTTCTACAACGTTTCGCAATATAATCAAAAATAGAACGACAACTTGAGTTACGCTCGATTCTAATGGCACTTCGAGTTCGCTAGAGAGGATAGTGTCATATCGTATACGCTTTATATAATATTGCGAATGCGAATCTTAGATTAAATGTACTGATGAATAAGTCGTTCGAGACATTCGAAAATTGTTCTTCCTCTTTTTCCCTTATACGAATAAATAGATAGAAAGATCGAGATTTATTGAAAATTTTATCAAAGACTGCCAGTAAATTTTTACTCTGTAAAAAATCAGCTAATTAAAAAATTGATAAAAATTTATGCTGCAAAAAAATTTTTTTCAATAATCGATATCAAGGATTATCTTAAAAGATTCAGAACTTATTTTATTACTTTCTATTAATTTAGATTCTGTTAACAAAATATATTCTTTAATAAGAATCGAAATACAGTGATTTTTTTTTTATTACTGTACATTAAAAGCTGAGTCATATTAGTACATTAAGCAGAAAAGGTATTTATTTAAACCTTAACATAAATAAAAAATTATTTTTATTTGAAAATTAGAAATGCTACAATTTTGCAGAATATATTCCTGTCAATTCTATTGAATTCAGCTATTTTTTACAGAAACATCTCAACGAAACGTGTATCAGCGACGAGACATACAGAATGGACATTACATACATCTTGCATGGAGGCACATGTGAAACTTGCGATACGGTCCGATACTTACCGGAACTCGCGTTCAGGCAAGTTTACCTTATCGCAGCAGTAACTTATGATTACCTCGAGTTCGGAGCAAGTTTAACACAAATTAACCTCTACCGACCTACGCGAAGTAAAATGGATAACGATCGCTGGTTACGAAGCTGTAACGACGCTGTACTATACAGGCTGAACCTTACTCTATTACTTGTAAAGTCTCAATCGGGTTCACGCGACGAATAGTATCGCGAGTATTATTCTCCCTCTCAACCGTCCTACAAAAAGTTATACAAAATATGACACAGTATCTGCTTACGATATGCAGTTAGAGCGTGTTATCACTCGCAAAACTACGTCTATATTTATTGCCTGTTGGGAGATATATTGATAGAGATATCTGCTGTAACAAACTGGAGAATGTTCATAAAAATACTTATATGTGAACGTTATCAGCGAAGATACGCTATATAAGTGGATAAATAAATCTGTATTTACAAACTTGCAACTATGTGACAGTCTATGTGACAGTCTATGTGATTTAAAGTCAAAAAATTACAGAATCTATTAATCAGAATAATAAAATTGTATCCCTTTATATATTAGCAGTCTCTCTTCAGCCGAGAAGATTCTATAATAATTCATATATTACCATAGCATTATCGTGAACGCTCAATCGTTCATTAAAGTGCAAAATTTATTTTTTGGCAAAATCTCTCGTACACGATAGTTATATAATCGTATATATCGTAAATATTTTATACGTAGTGTTCAAGTTATTCTTATATAAAACTTGATGAATAAATATAAGTACTTTTAAAAAGCTCAAATTTGTGGACTCGTATAGTAACTATCGATATGCTATATCGATATGATATACCATCGCAAATGTGATATTCTTATGGTAAAAAATATCCTATAAATAATGGAAATTTTTAATAAATATATGATAATAGCTAAAAAGAAACGTAAGTCTATGTGAAAATATGGAATAGATATATACACGAAATATTTCAATTCATGTGTACTTAATTTAAGAATTAAATATTGAGCATAATTTTTCAGGTAGTAATAATTAACCTGATATATTAATACATGATTAATGGGATAAATAAAACCGATTTGCAAGACTCTTAAATACGTTAGAATCATTTCTTTTATGTTAATATATAATTCCTTAATATTTAAAAAAGATCTATATGTTTATGACGAGTTAGTGAATTAAAAAGAGATAAACGAGAAAGAAATTTTAAGAATTACGTTATGTATCGTGTTATTTTCCAATAGTTTCACACTATGATTGTCGAGCAAATTTTTATGTACTGATGAGCAAGAGATAAAACAAAGTATAACAAGATGTAAAGAGAATGAGATAAGATAATAAGTATTAAATTAATATTCTCTCTCTCTCTCTCTC